TGCCGCGCCTAAGCAGCAAAAGAGTTATTTATTTTAAAATTTATTTTTGTATCTCAAAAATGATGTAAAGTTTTTAATATGACGTAGAATTAAAGCTATTTCCGTACAGCCTAAGTGCTAAGCATGCTCGTTAGATAAACTATGAACAATGAACATAACATGCTAGCTTTCTTTATTTTTGTAAGTCGTGTCGGCTGACATCTTGGGTTGTACTGGATGTAACAAGTTTATTATCAGATGTCTACTTATATTTATTATGATATCATTATTCATTGTAATGGCAATAAAATTTAAATTTTGTTTTACTTAAAATTTTGTTTTACTTAAATACAACGTATTTAGTAAAACAAAAAATTGCTCACTGTACTGCATCAGCTGACTGATCTGGCGAGCAGTATTTTGCAGCAATTTACTTGTATCACGTTGCGACCCCCACGGTCGTTTCACTTTATCGTCCTGACGATACAGGGGGAGCCGCGCACTTCGTGCGCGGCGGGTCATACAACGTATGACAACAATTCACTAAGGAAATATTTCGAGAAAAAAGCAGCGCGAGCAACTGCATACTGTGAAGAAATTTATAAAAGTATCATCCGCCAAGCTATTGTACTAGACTATGAAAAGCGACGACGTTTTTCAAATGAGTTGAACACCGTCTATATATATTATAGTTTACAGTTTACACATTCAAAATTTGCTCCAACCAGAGCCTTCTCGCTTGCAGTAGCGCGCGACCGCCGAAGGCGGTAAAGATATATTCTACTTGTGAAACAAACGCGTCACGCAGTACGCGTATACACATGGCTATGTGAACGCGTATACACATTGCTATGTGAAATTCAAAATCAGCAGCTTCATATTATATTGAGTCAAAAATTCACAACTAGACAGTTCAACTAACCATGTGCTTTTGCATCACTGCGGCGCGGGCGCGCTTGTTTTACACTTAACTAAAACTAGCAAGCTTAATAAAATGTTTGATTGCATCCTTCAAGGATATCATAGTTGTAACGCAATGTATTACTGGGCCGCGCCGCGCATAAAGTACTAATGCACGCGTTATTGGTTATACCTCTGACTCCCGTGAAACTACACCCTATTTGATACGTATCACGTATGAAATAGTTGTATAATTTGCTTTATTTTGCACAGCTCGGTGCAGCACTGCAGCCCGGCCTAGTGGTGCATTGCACCGATCTAGCGACAAAACATCTAGTTTCGAGAAATATTGTTTGATGCGCGGCGCGGTTCAGTAGTTGGTAGTGCATCGCGCTAAAACTTTACTGGGCGGCGCTCAGTCTGTCATTCCGCAAAATCTCTATTTGATGATTATGAACATAAATATAGTTGTATCACGTGGTGACCCCCACTGTCGCTTCACTATAGTAGAGTTTCTACGATACAGGGGGAGCCGCGCACTCGTGCGCGGCGGGTCATACAACGTATGACAAAAATATAGTATGTTAATACAATATGTGAAATATAATAGCTTGGGTCCCCAGGTAAGCTAAAAAGCTAATCCCAATGCAAAGCGCTCGTGGTTGTAAAATATAAAAACTCTTCATATTGGTGTCTGGTGAGATCAGTAGCAAGCAATAAATCAGCAAGCTAGGTACGGTAATTGCCAAATCAAATGTTAATGATATCATGCCATTTCTCATTTGGAATATTTTACTGGGCGACGTTCAACCTGTCATTCCACTACAGGTTCAGTCGGTTTATGAACACTATAATCTGGGGTTCCCAGGAAAGGAATATCACTCACCTATTCTGTATTTTGCTGCGGATACTTTCATATTATAATGTGTTCTGTCCAAACAAAGTCACTATTTTTGAAGGTAGTTTTGCATAAAATAATATTTTATTAAGTGCTCAACATATTTATGCGATAGAATTTTTATCAAGCTGTTAAGCACTTTGAATGATACAAAGTTCTGTAAAAAACGTTTGGGTAGTCATTTTGCTGTTTTGTTATTTTCTGTATAGTTTTAAAAAAATTTTAAATGATCTGGGTTAATATATAAACATTTTTCTTACTTTTGAATCAAAACATTAACATAACATCTTTTTTGCTCATGTGATTCCACACGCTGTTGGGGCTTAAGCATAAAGACAGTGCTTTTGTGCAAAATACATTGGTCTTCTGTTGCATTGAAATAAAATGTTGCTGTTGTCTGTGAATCAAGTTCAATATTTCAAACAGTTTGTCTTTATTTTGTCATACTTTGTAAAAGTTACTGATGGATCTCAACAGTCATATCTTCTCCACCTACTTTTTTACTTTGATCAATCATCAATCTCCTCTACGATTTTCCTTGTATCACGTTGCGACCCCCACGGTCGTTTCACTATCGTCCTGACGATACAGGGGGAGCCGCGCACTTCGTGCGCGGCGGGTCATACAACGTATGACAAGATTTTCCTTAAACTGCATGATCGAGCATAGCAAACCGTAGATCACTGATATCAATTATTATTGTATCTCAAGCTTAAGTATTAAATTATGCGAGAAACCTTCTACCATTGCCAACTTGCAGGAGGATTGTTGATATGGCCTGATCTTCCGCCTACAAATTGAGCTCTTCCTTGGGCTAGGATGGAGGCAATGGGAGAGGGTAGTCATAATTTTATTTGGGGTTTGGATGTTTCTTTCGACACAAGTTCTTTCATGAGGAGGCTCATGTAGTAGCCATTAAAGTGTTTTTATAGTTTTTTATGACTTTAGATGATTTGACATGAGATGCTCAGCAACATATGTTAAAAGTCCCGTCTTTCAACAAGTTAAAACTGCATTATAGAAAAAATGGGAATGTTTAATCCAACAGTTAGATACATTGCTTGCTCTGATAGTGAGAGTGACTGATAGTTGTCTTACAGCATTTTTGATCCTTCTGTATTTTGTAAACACACACACACATAACAACTTTAAAAAGTTCCCAGTCTCTTCATTATTACAGTGGTAAGATACTTCAAAAAAATGTATAGTTTGCAACTTCGACTGCATTTGAAAAAACTTTATCTTTCCTAAAAAGCCTTATTACGATTGAAAATTCTTAACTAGCTGGTTATTTTCCCAAACTAAGGTCTGTCCCAAATTCCCCATCACAGAGGTTTCAAACATTGTCTTATTAAAACCTAATTTAGAGCTGAATTTAACCAGTAGTTTGATAGTTTCTGAGCTCTGGGTCTTAAGTCATATTTTGCAATTTCCGGTCCCTTCTGGGGTAAGATATCAGGATTCCGATGATGATTTAAAGATGAGTCCATCATTTCACCCATCTTGGCAATATGAATTTAATTTATTATTGTGCAAAAATTTGTACTCATCATTCTAATTCTTCATCTGAGTCAACAGTGATGGTTTGAGTTATCTCATCAAGGTTGTTAATAAATATTAGTCTATTAAGTTTAATAATGCGATGAGAATATTAACAAGCAGATTCACATTTATTTTAGCCTAATTATGTGCCTCATTTAACTATGTTGGAGGCTATTGGAATTTTTCGATTGAAAATTCCTCTAAAATGAACTTTAAATTTGACATCTACTCACTCAATGCATAAGAATATCATTAAGGTTCATATTTTACTACAATAACCACTAAAACTGTAAATAGAACCATCCATTGGATTGATAAATCAGTCAATATTTGTTGTCTCAAATATATAGCGTGGATATGGGCCCTACGGGATGGTTCTAAGCCAGAAATACTTTTAAATAATATCAGAGAATATTCATAATGTTTTTCATTTTGATACATACATATATTTTGTACATATATTTAAATTAATATGACTTTAGTCGATATATTACAATAAAAATAGTAACTTGAAAATTTCGCTCGTTAGTGAAATGCTACTATTTGTAAATTGAACACTTTCTGGAAAACAAGATTAATTCATTAGTATTACAATTGATATAAACTTGTACACTTACAATTCAATAAAGTTTTTACACTTCATATTTTAGCTGAGACACAGTTTGGTCTATGGAAGTAATATTGTTCGATAACACTCTTTAAACCATGACCATTGAAATAGTTAGATATCAGACATCAACTCAGATGAAATGATTAATATTAACTAATAGCTCCAAATATCCTGATATTTGTGTGTGACCCTATGTTCACCCAATGTCCTTCTCTTGTATCGTCACATGCCCCCTACCCATTAGTATGCAATACTTACGTGTCAAATTCATTGCTTCTTCCAAGTTTTATGAGTGTTTTTACAGAAATGATTCGTTACCCCTAGCAACGCTCTAACATAGTTGCTGTAAAACACCCAATATCTGGCTCTGTTTTAAGTTAAACCTAATTAGAGCTGATAGACGAGAACAAAACAGCAGGATTACCTGCATGGCCCACGAGTCATCGGACAAGCTTGCTTGATTCTGAGCGAGTTTAAAAACCGTTTAAATATGCATCTTAAATCAGCCCTTGCTTCTCATAATTAACCAGATGATATCCGGATCTTGCTTGTGCAGTGCAGGACGTCAGGGTAATCACCAGGCTGGTCTCTTATTGTCCTCTAATTGAATGTGATAGCGTGTAGATTGTGTGGTTAGTGCAGTTTCTGTTTCACGTCTCGTCTCACTCAATTAGTCTCGTCTGAGCTGCTTGTGTGTCATTGTCCTCCTCCTTCATGCCATGGCGGCCGTCAAAGCTTGTTTCCCTTTTGTGTCCTTACCACTTTGGGTCTGTTTTATGTTGCTTTGTTTACCAACAAAGACCGGTTTGTTTCCCACAATATCTCCCCCACATTCAACCATGCCTCACAGTTTTGTTTAGATCAACTAATAGTTTAGGGTTTAGATTTTTATTATTTACTTGCCTTAGGTCTGTTGCATAGCTCGCTTTGTTTACCAACAAAGACCGGCTCGTTCTCCACCATATTTCCCCCACAGCTCATAGTTAAATTTAGATCAACTTCTTGTTTAGAGGAGATTCTTATTGTACTAGACAAATTATTGTTGTACTAGACGAATGTAATAAAAATATTAGTCGTCCTAAGCTAGGTATCTTTCGTAAACTGTGCTAGCTGTTTTAACTTTGATAACTTTAAAGGTAGCATGATATTCTTGTTACTGGTGCTCAAGCCAATACTAGCTGACTACTGGATATCTGATCTAACATCTCCAGGTTTGTGACAACACTTCTTGATTACTTCTCAACCACTTGCTAATTAACAACCTGCCAATTAATAATTGTAGAATATACGATGCGTTACAATATTGCAGTATGGCACCGGATGGATTGCCCGACTCTAGGATCTAACAAATGGGTGATAATGTGTGTTGGTTTGTTTTGTCAAACTAGCCACTCCCTGGCCACGGACGTAGCCATGCGGGTCTCCATTAACATAATAGTGTTAACCGATCCGGCAAGCCCCTGCATCGCATTATTGATCTGTGATGCGGTGTGAAACACGGAACTTTTGACGGAATTTTTTGACGGAATTGATCTCTGAAGCCTGCGAATTTGTAGAATATAATGAAATATTGTAGAAAGCGTAAGTAAGGAAAACGTATGGTAGTGGTTCTTCTGTGTACACTGTACAGTGTACTTGTTAATACTTAATATGGAACCTCATGGACTCATGTACAGCAAGGTGCCTGTTTTGTTGTATTTAGGGCTCTCAAAAGGAACGGTTTTCCTATCTTCAAGATAGCCAGACATTTAAATCTTTGAGTTGGCTCCAAGGCCGTGACTTTTGGAATTTATATCGTTATGAGACCGTTTATCGGTTTATCGGAAGCTTATCTAATAATCATTGAATATTGGCTGAGTTTTAAACTTCTCTACCTTCAAATTATCGCACATGAGTAGACGTGCCAGGAATATCCAATTGTCTGGTCATAACTCCCACTTCTCAGTACTCATTCCGGTGCACTGTACTAAAACTCGTCAACTTATTGTCATCGCACCGTTAAAATGATAGGTGTTAATGTAGCCTTCAAATCCTCCAAATTGGGTGATTTTGAGAAAGACGTTCACATTGTGGGGAGATGGTAAGGGAAGTGCGGGCTACCCCCTTATCTTGGTCCCTTTGTTGGGTTTAAGTAACTTTTAATTACTGAATATGATTATGTTTGAAATTGAATTAACCGTAGAGGATTGCACGCTGATTGGTAGTAAACATACCGGGTCGTATCTAAGTGGACATCGTCACACCAGCATACCAAATATACGATCCGTTTTCATGGCAACACGTTACAGATATAAGGCCAGGTATTTTGGGAAGGAGCTGGTTCAGGTTTAGGGTCCTCTTATACACGGGGGGTTACATTATGCTGGTGATAAGCGCGGGATCCCCTCGCAAGGAGCTTATAACAAATCCTGTTAAAGATGGTAACCGCTCCACTAATCGCGGAAAAATTACATCCACGGGGTGCTCTACGCTAAATATACTTACTACCTTTAACGCTTGAAAACGATAGATGGCCTCCAATTAGCAAACAGGTGACATGTGGTGGGGACCCTTCTTAATAAAACTACATTTAAAAGTTTTAAATGTTCCTTCAATTATTAGAATATTTGAGGAGTCTGTTCAATATCATTTTAAAATAGAGGATGTTGTGCGGAACTAATTTCAATCAAGAGGGAGCTGATGTGTTGCGAATGGTTGTCGCCATTGCCGAGCAAGGTGGACAAATTAATCGAGAAGAAGTGAGTTTACACGTAGTTTAAATGGACCGAACGTGCCAAGCTGCTCGTTGTAAGGTGGTTTAAAATAGCCACCCGCTCATTCTTAGCATACTTACATCTGCATTCTTCAAGGTCTTGGCAGGAGTTGTGGTATTTTGTGGTGGAGTGAGATCAGTTTAAAGTGTAATGGTGAGGAAGGAACGAAATAGAATTAGGCTCTCAAATCCCCCGAATAATCCACCCAAATATCCTTCACTAATGCTCTATTAAGTGGCGTCACTCTGACGAATATTTCAATTACAAAAAGCGATATCAGTACCTCTCTCTCTCTCTCTGGCAATATCAGTATCTACCCTCCCAAATCACGTCTCAAACTGCCCAGAAACACGGCTATATTTACAAGATTCCGTCTCGGTGTACATAACAAGCTATGGACCAATCAGAAGCGATGTTTTGTGTCACGTGAGCTGTAACACGTGACACGTGATAATTGATAGGATTTAGATCTGGTTGAGCGAACCGAGTACGGGGGACTTTTATCTGGAGGTTGTGTGACAGGAGAACCGTTTAACAGAAAGGTAACAAGTAACCAGGTAAGAAGGTTCTTCTGTTTATCTTCCCCCGGTAATTCTATCAAGTTTTATCTGCTGTATTTAAGATATATTACCTGTATCAGATGACATCAGTTGTCTGCGTATCTACGAAAAAGATACATATTCTGATACAAATAACGCTGGCAGCTCCTCATGAAACTGATGAATCACAGTCTATACGGTCTATATAGGGTTACATTCTGCTGATTATTGACCAGAGTTTTGTGTCAAACACTGAGAGGGGAATTTAAAAGGTCATGTCACGTGACAGCAGTCTGTAGCCAGGCTCACGAGTTTAACCTACAACTTCCACAGCAGCTATTATTATCATCACACACAATCCATCTGTTATAATAATTAATAATAATTAACTAATTCCCCTACATAATGACAAGTATAATAGTGGTATGATTGAGAATAGCAGATCTTCTTGATCCATTAGATAATTATAATTAACAATCCACTTTCTTTCGTCTGTCTCGAAAGCAAAATTACGAAATAATTTACTGCGAACAAAACAAGCAGATGACAGGGTTTTGTGTTAACAAGATGACCACTAAGAGAGGGGAGGTGGTTATCACGTGACCAGTCAGTCTGCAGCCTACTCACGAGCAGTTCATACTCTAACCAAATACTTCCACACCAGCCATTACCACCGCACATAATCCGACTATTAAATTCCCCCTCTCCTCGTAATGACAAGTAGAAGTGTGCTTGAGAACGGGCCCCGGTGAAGCTTGTCTGGAGCGGAGAATATCCGGGGGGAATGTAGCCAACATTCCGTGGCTCATTGTCCACCAGGGAGTGGCACAAGAACTGACAGGGACAGTGTGTGTCGTGTGGTCCCAGGTAGGGGGTGAGTCTTGTGGTCGTCTCCATACACTCACGTGTATCTTTCACTTTCAACTACTCTGCGCTGCCTTGTTGCTAGCTTGCTAGGTGTAAACAATGCGCCTTGCTCACGAACACTGGCTACTACTTCTCAAAACTTCTCAAAATGCTTTGAATGCCTGAAAACGAGCCGAGAGCGCGGGTAATGTACATGACAAAACTATGTAAATAATCCGGTGACGGTCCAACAAAACTGCTTCTCGATTCAATAAAATAAAACGATTTTTAACAAAGAGTAAGCACGGTGACTGTAAACAAGTGGTCAATGAAGAGCACGTTGAAACGCCGCCTTAAATCTCTGTTCAGTTGATTTTACAAAACCTGGAGGAGGGAAGGAATATGTGAAGTGCACTTGCCATGAAGTAAAAACTTAAAGTATATCGTCATTTCCATATTCGCTCCTTACAATGTGGATTACGGAATGTAAAGCAATTTCACACTCGATATTTTCATCGATTTCAAATGGAATTTTCAATTTTATTCCATGCTAGCCTTCGTGCTAATTGAAGTAAAATACCGCCAATGTAAAAGTGTATACTTGGCTGAAATCCAAGAGCAGACTCAATGTATCGGCTGTACTCTCCGAATTATTGGGACAAATTGTTTCCTCCAAAGTATAGAGTGAATGTCGCACATGTCACATGACCGAACTTCAAGTGGAGTGGTGGGCCTGAGTCACGTGGTACAAATCCAGTGTAGTGATTGGTGTGTTGAGGATGGGAGCAGGTTGGAAGTATAAGGTAGATACACTGTGTAGAGTGGTAAGGAAATACAGTTCTTTCTTCTCTCTCTCTTCTTCTCCAGGGTGAGTGTATTAAGACTTCACACCTACACTTCAGTGAATACTGTATCCCCACTGTATAGATAGTTCTTTTCCTAGACCATGTACCCACCCTCCAGAAACCAGAGGGAGAGACTGGACACTCAGCGGGGGAGATTGAACACTCAGCCAATAAAATACGGCGTGAAATTAGGGAGTTGGTGGTAGCCTTCCCGGGGTTCACCCAAATAGAGTACCAATATCTCACTCTTACTTAATTCTAGGGAACTGCACTTTATTAAGTGTTAAAATGTCTGATCATTCGCCATTATCCCGGTCATGATTTAAGCGAGCTCCGCTCCAGAAAGGAGGTCTTACTTTCGATTTGAAGTATCGCTATAATAAGTCATCTTACTCGTGATCTGCCGACTAGACTTGAGTACTGGAGATAAGAATTAAGAACCTGATCACATTGTCGCCCGATATTATGTCGGCCAATATAATGCCGTTTTCCCATGATTGGTGAAGAATGTGAAGTATTTGGTGCTGCTAAAAAGGTCCCAGTCTCGACGTAGGACGGATACAGTTAGCTCCACAACTCAGTCAGCTGCCCCCAACAGCCTCAACAGCCTGGCTTAACGTGCTTCACATATCCTTCACCTGTTACCGTGCTCAAGTGTCTTCCCCGACATTTAGTTCTAATTTAGAGGCCTAAATCTTACCAATTCTAACAATATATCAATTTACTGTATCGCCTCTTTCCCTCCCCCAGTTAGAGGCCCTTGTTAGCAGGATGCTGGGCAAGCTGCCCCGGCCAGAAGATTCAGCTGTAATTATTGTCATGTGCTGAAGTAAGAATTACTGGGAGTCACAACTTTGTTAAGTGTGTTCCAGACTATTTCTAATCCACCTTTATAATACCACAAAGAGATCAAATCTCTCAAAGTGTGAACTATAAACCCCGACCTAGCCACCACCACTGACCACTACCTTCAACACGTTATGGCTTCTACTGGTTCTACATTGGTTCATATCGGTGTTAGGAAATCGTGGCAGGGAATATTAGCAATAACAGTACACGACCTGTTACCACGTGACCATCATCACTACCTGGTGTCACGTGACCATCATCACCCGGAACTCACGAGCTCTACATCATGTAGTGAGGAGAGGAACCAATGTAGGAGCTAGCCTGGGTGGCGTTCACCACACCACAATCTAACCGCTGCCGAGTAAAGATGTTACTGTTA